CGGTGCTGTCTATTTTTCAAAATTCAGCTTTGATTTGTCCCAAACAAACTGTTGAAGGTGTAAAATGGCCATGAAAGAGTCAACTTCATCTTCTGGGGCTATGATTATGATCACGACTACCAACTGTACGTTGTGGAAACCTCGGATGGAAGATTTCCTCAGCTGTAAAGAGCTCTTTGATTTAATAGAGCTGAAGGGTATTAACCCTGATCCGTCCAAGGCGTTAGAATGGAAGAAAATCAATAGAAAAACTATTGGTCAAATCCGACAATGGATAGTTCATAGTGTCTTCCATCATGTTGCACAAGAAACCGACGCATATGTCCTTTGGAGAAAGCTGGAGAACATGTACCAGGCCAAGACCGCTCAGAATAAGGCCTTATTGGTGAGGTGCTTAGTCAATATAAAGTTGAAAAGTGGAACTTCTATTGCCGAGCATACCAGTGAGTTCCAGAGCCTGGTAAATCAACTATCTTGTGTGGAGATGCCGTTTGGAGATGAAATACAATCTCTGCTACTTCTTAGTTCCATTCCTGATAGCTGGGAAGCACTCGTTGTTACTCTCAGCAATTCAGCCTCAAACGACAAACTTTCCATGTCCGTTGTCAAGGATGCCTTATTCAATGAAGAGGCAAGAAAGAAAGACATGAGCACAGATCAGACTCATGCCCTTGTAATGGAGAATCGAGGAAGACCACAATGCAAGCAACAAAGAAGTAGTAGAGGGAAGAGCAGGGGTCGAAGCAAGGCAAGGCAATCAGATGATCGGAGATCACATGTGTGCTATCATTGTGGTCTAAAAGGTCATATGAAGAAAATTGCTATAAATGGCTCGAGGAGCAAGGCAAGAGCAATTCTCAGCCGAAGAATAGTTCTTAGCAGAAGAAACAGGGCAAGGGTGGTGAAACTCTCATCACTGTCCCAGGTGATGTAGCATATTGCTCTAACCATGGTGAAACGTGCCTTCATGTCTCAAGAGAAGACATTGAATGGTGGTAGATACTGCAGCATCCTATCACGTTACTCCCAATAGGAAGTATTTCACAACATACAA